GGTCCCCCTAAATAACCCCCATAATACTCCCCTATATCATCACCCTATATAGCCCCTTCAAGGAGCCTAGAGTATAGCTCATATGAAGCAGTCTGTCTGGCACTGGCTACTCTGCTTAAGCTCAAGGTATACAAAACTTCAACCGACCCAAGGCCCGAAGCCGCAAACCCAAAAGATCTACTGCAGGGGCCTAAATGAGGTCCTAGTATCCCCCTTTGATACTGGAGAACCAAATGGACAAGAAAATGGAAAATGAAATGGAAACTGGGATTATATAGGGGATTCTGGGGGTTGTAATCTAAACTCCCAGTATCCCCCTTAATAAGCCCGACAATGCTCCACCATATACTCCCCTGCATAACCTCCTTAATGAGTTTTGACTATAGCTCAAATCAGTACCAAGACCATCGTTCTAGATTACTTGTGGAAGTAATGTACAGAGTAGCTCAGGTAGACCTCAGAATGATAATGGACAGTATTTCGGCGGCTGTATTACACCCCAAAAAACCCCTCAACCCTAAACCCCAAACCCAAACCCTTAACCAGCCTGGTATCTCTCCTTCACACCCGGATGGCTGGTGAACTGCAGTGGTTGGGATCTCCTCACCCTTCCAACTTCATCTGACTCCTCATTACCTGACCATGCGGGGAATCTAGAATTTAAGGGTTTAGGGTTTAGGGGGAACCCCCTGGGCGAGCAGGGCCCCAAGAAAGTGCACCAACAGTTCTCGGCACCCTACATGAACCCTTTGTCGTCCTTATTCAGCCTGTGCGAAACGTCCAAAATAGAAAAGCGAAAATATTTCGAGAAACCCCTGCAAGCTCATAACAAGACCTTTCCTTGCCCCGGCAAAAACCTAGGCTCTGAGCCTGAAGGTAGTTGTGTGTTGGGAAAAATGGAAAAAGAAAATGGAAACTATTATAGTATATTGGGGTTATGTATTGGGATAGTGGAAAAGAAAATGTAAACTACTGGGATAAGGGGGTTATATAGAGGTTATGGTTAGGGTACGTTAGGGTTGAATGTGTGTGCCAGGTGTTTGAGATGCAATGTATAGGAATAAAGGGTTTGCTACCTGAAGCCTTAAGTAAATAGAATGTAGTAGGGTTATCCCTACTATTCAGGGTTAGGTAGAACATATTAACGTTATGTTAGGATAATGGAAAAGAAAATGGAAACGATTATTCAGGGTTAGGGTTTAGGGTTTAGGGTTGAGCTCCTTTCAATTAAAAAGCATACTTGAGAAGGTGGGGTCCCTTCGTAGGGCCCGTGGTTCAGTGTTCAGGGCTTAGGGTTTAGGGTTGCCACAATGCAAGTAGCCAGCATGCTTATTATTACGGGGCTCCCAGAACTTGCCCATGATGTGCAAACTTCCTAGACTCCCGAAACCCACATCCTAGACCCTAAACCCAGAAATCCGAAGCCACAAACCCCTGAAGCCCAAATTCAAAATGCTAAATCCTGAAACCTAAAGCCTGAAGTAACTTCAATTTGTTTTCTTTTCCTTCATTCCCACACCCTTACCCCTTAACCCTAGGGAAACCCTAAACCCCAATCCCTCAACTCTAATCCCGAAACCCTATAGTCCCCCTTAAGTAGATAGAATATGGCTTTGGGTAGACTATAATAAGATCCCCATATACCCCATATTCGATCTACTTAAGGGGGACTATAACCTTAAATCCCCACCTGTGAAGTAGAACCAAGCACAGTCGAACTGACGGTCTGGATCGCCAGCGAACCTCTTGGCCGGGCACAGCTGCTGCAGCTGCGTGCGGCATTTCTCGTCGCCTTTCACCCAAAGGATCCAAGGACCCAATAATTGGGTACTTAGGGTTTTGGGTTTATAAGGCTATAGGGATTATATAGGGGTTTAGGGTTTAGGGATTATGAGGTTTAGGGTTTAGGGTTTAGGGTACTTAGGGGTACTTAGGGGTACTTAGGGGTACTTAGGGTACTTAGGGTACTTAGGGTACTTATGGTACTTGGGGTACTTAGAGTATTGGGTAATAGGAATTATAGCACAAGATTTGGGTAAGTATATGATTATACCCAATTATTGGGTACATGGACCCTTAGGGTCACACAGGGTGTAAGGTTTAGAAACTTGGTGGGTTCCAAAACGCTGAGATGCCCCTTGTTGCGGGGGTCCCCTTTAACGGGGTTTATAGGGGCTATATGGGGGCTCCTAAAAATAGGGGTACCTTTTGATAATGTTTTGGGGTGTATGCTGGAGACCCCCTTTTTAGAGTGAGGTGTGAGGGGTTTTTATATTCAGGGTTTACAGGTTAAGGCTTAACACTTCATCGCCTGCACGCCGCTCTCTGGTGCTTCGTCCCCTCCCCCCTATGACTATGACCAACACCTCCCTTACGAGCCAAACGGTCATACGTGTTTAGGGCTTACGGTTTAGGATTTAGGGTTGCCCAAAATACTATAATCCTTATCATGGCGACCGCCCGACAAGGTACCGCTTATTTCGGGACACCCCATTTGGCAGTTTACCAAAATAAGGGGACCCCGATGTAGACCCCAAAATACTATAATCCTTATTATAGGGGCCCTTAAAAAGGTACCACTAATTTTGGGAAATTACCATTTAGGGTTTAGGGTGAGTGGCCTAGGGTTGCGGGTTTAATTGGGGTGAATGAGTGTATGGGGGATAGATTCTTGGAGAAACTACATGGTAGATAGGGGCTACCAATGGATGCGGGATCCCACATTTCAATACTAAGCACCAACTAGAGGGCATAGGATCAGCTTAGGGTGTAACATGTAGCGATTGAAGCTGAAGGTTGGGGCATGCATGATGAGGATGGGGCCTAAAGCTTATGATGCAACTATGTTGAGACAATCAAGCGAATTCCGTAATCAGATTGATGCAAACTATGATCACTGCTGAGTTTGGCGAAATACACGATACCTGAACTTGCATGAACTCAGAACCGCATAGGGCAATTTGCAAGACGAGCTACAAGATCCTAAGCCCAGAAACCCCTAAAGTCCAAGTCACTGTGAACAAGCACGCCGTCTGCCAAGACTTCATCGGGTATGGTCTCCAAAATAACATTGTTAATTGTGAGCGGGAACTGCCGATAGCCGTGTCGCAAAGAGTATACTGGGCCAATGGGTATGAGCTTGTGCTGCTCTGCAAGTGAGAAGTAGATTGTTGGCCGAGCAAAGGGGGATGTGTTGGCTGCACCACGGTGAAGAGTACGGGAATCGTAGATGGCGATGCTTCCCTGTGGCACAGCCAGGCGTGCAAAGGGAACGCTGGTCATCATTTCCTGCTCCTGGGTCATATTGGGTTCTGTGCCGGTCCCTCTCAAAACTATTATCAATCCTCCGCCACCTCGTAGAATAGATTCTTCTGAACATGATACCTTTCCATGTGTTAGATATTGGAGTTCAGAGCTTAGAGTGCTGTCACGGGCAGCGATGACAATCTCTTGTAAGATGTTTCCCAAGGTGGGACTCCCCCCTCCTTCTTGCATGCCCATATGCTGAACCTTGGAACCTACGAGCTTAGGTTGGGCCCCCATGCATGAATGGCGACCACATGAGACAAGGGTAGTCATGTTAGGGTCTATGTGTATATATATATATGTGTGTATATTCATTCAGTTATATGTGTTCCTAGTCTACCACTATCAGTGGGTGGGGGCCCATCCCACTTAAGAGTTCACTGGCTATGAACCTTTCAGCCAACCTGAGAAGCATGCGCGTTCTGACAACTTATGCCTTAGTCGTAGGGTCCGCTAATTTTAAGTTTAGTATTCATCTCTTGGGTCTGTGAAAGTGCTCACCAAAAACAAACAGTAAAAACACCGTGCAAGAGGGCTTCCCGGACAACAAAATCTTAGTTATTCCGGAACCCCTGCACCTAAACCCATATACCCCTACCGTCTTAAGCTACTGGGCCTCTAGAATCGCCTATATAAGCCAAATTTCCATTTAGCTTTCCATGATCTGTCCCTTTGACTCTCCATGGTTGGGGTAATGCCCCCAACACCCTAAACTCCGCCTCCCATAATCTATATGACCCCATATAACGGCATATGAGCTACGGACTAAACTTAGGTTGGGGGGGACCTATAGGGGACTATATAGGGTTTTGGGGGGGACCTAGTAAGTGATATATTATAGATTTAGTCCAGGGCTCATATGACCCAGTATAACCCTATAATCCCTATATAACCCTATATGATCGCCATAGAAACCCTATAATCTGCCCAGGGTTCATCCTCCATCAAAAACTGGAAATGAGTGTGTGTGCCGGGCACCACGTCGAGCGGAGCCGACTCAGGTCGGACGTCATCCTTTAAGATTTAGGGCCTAAGGTCTAGGGTTTAGGTTTAAGCTCTACTGGGTTTAAGTTTCAAGGTTTATAGTCCCCCTTAAGTACACGTACACAGAGTATGGGGTATATGGGGATCTTATTATAACATTCCCAGAGCCATATGCTATCTACTTAAGGGGGACTATAATCCCTAAACCCTGAACCCTAAATAGTAGTTTCCATTTTATTTCCATTACCCCTATATAACCCCAATATAACCCTATATGAGCTATAGTCTAAACTCCTAGTATCCCCCTTAATATCCCTCAAAGTAGTTCCCTATATAAACCCCTATATAACCCCCCTTTAAGGAGTTTAGACTATAGCTCATATAATTCCTAAACTTAAAGGGGACCATAGGGTTTAGGAAACCTTCCTCCATGAGTTGGGGGCCACCAGCGTTTCTGGGGTCTGCGGATGTGGGCCCTGTTGCGCACACTTTAGGGTTTAGCCTTAACCCGAAACCCGGTAACCCCTAAACCCTAAACCTAGACTCTAAACTCTAAACCCTAGACCCTAAACCCTAAATCCTAAACACTAAATCCTAGACCCTAAACCCTATACCCACCCTGAATCTTGAAGGCCAAGCCTTCTTAGGCCTCCTTACCTGGCAAGGGCAAGCTCCTTGGCCCTTCTTACCCGGCAAGGGGTTTGTCTTCGAAGATTCGGGCTTTGGGTTGGGATTTTGGGGTTAGGGCTTTAAGATTCAGGCACTGGGGTTCGGGCTTTAGGGTTCGGGCTATAACGCCCACGGCGTAGTGTTTGTGATTTAGGGCTTTAGGGTTGATTTAAAGTTTAAGGCTTCTTAATGATGTGGGGCCCAATGGGCGGGTGGGTATTCTTATGTTATTGGATACCGCTGCTTAACAAGTGAATGCTTGGACTTGACATGATGAGCCCTGAACCCCCAACCCGGTATAATCCCTAAACCTTTGCTTGACCAGGTTAGTTTGGCAAGGATTCCCTAAACACCTAAGCCCTGAAACCCTAAACCCTTAAACCCGAAACCCTTAAACCCTAAACCCTTAAACCCGAAACCCTGAAACCCTAAACCCTTAAACCCTAAACCCTTAAACCCTAAACCCTAAACCCTTGCACCCTACAGCTTGAGATTGTTGAGGTGTCCGGCGGTCCCAGGATGGGCTCCATCTTTCAAGCCTTATCCGTATCTGTCACGGCTGAGGCGGAGAGCTAAGGGTTTAAGGTTCGGGGTTCAGGGTGTAGGGCTAAACCCCAAACCCTAAACCCTAAGCCCTGAACCCAAGGGTTTAGGGCTTATCTGTCCCTGAGATGCCGAATCCTCGTACCATCAGAGCCCTGAAGCAAGTACTCTTGCAATAGAGGCTAGGGGGCGTCAATCGGCTACAAAAAAATTGCAGACAAATAAGAAATCTCAAGGTAAACCCACAATGTACCCTCCCCAGAAGTAAGATGGAACCAGAAAAAAAATGTCTATACAGGGCCCCTTTGTCAGATCCAAGGTTAGTTGCGGGGTGTATCTAGACTGGCTGTAGATCAAGAATCAAGGTAGATGAAGGCTGAGAACATACGTCCCAAAGATCGCATCCGCTTCACGGACTCCATGCCTGGGATTCGAGAGCCCTTTGTGTTTCAGTGTCCGGCTTCGGTATCACTTCTAGATAAGTTTAAGTGCTTGAGGGGCTTGTATGAGAGTTGGGTATACGGACCCTTGTACAAAAGGTGTCTCTCTATGCCAACTTAACATCACAAGCTATCTGCCCAAATCATGGTCTCTGCAAAACTCGATGCATTTTGAGAGGTCTTCTGGCAAATTTGGCAGGTAGAGTTTAGGGTTTAAGGTTAAACTTCCCGGTGACTCTACCAAATCCTGAGCCTTCCAAAACCACGAACGGCAAATCTACCCTGGACCAATACTCAATCTGCCCTGGAACTCTCCCAAAAACGATCTCAGCTCTTTATTGGCGGGCGCAAAGATGATATAATTGTTTTTTTGCAGGACGTCCCTCATGAAATCAGAAAATGCTCTGCTGAACATGTCTAACTGGGGTCATTCCCCCTTACAGTAACTGTTACCACAATGGGTTATAGGAGTTATAAGAACCCCCTTAATAAGGCCCCTTTAAGGACAGTTACTGGGAGGGGGAATGACCCAATGTCTAACACTGATTTAGTTGCTGGAATCCGCGTGAAAAGCCTGTGGGCCAGCACCGCTGTAGGTCGTCAGAGACGAAAACTCCACCAAACCTGGGCTTCTGCTGAACCCCAAACCCTAAGCCTTGAAACAGCTTAGGGTTTAGGGGTTTAGG